CAAAATAGAAAGTTTCCTAAAAAGTATCCAAGATCTTTTTTATGAAACGAATGTGCTTTTGGCACAGAACTGATGTTCCTACAATAACCCTCCATGGGATGCGACAGAGTGTGAACTAAAACCATATAGAATATCACATTTTAAAAAAAATCTTTCAAATATATAAAACCCTAACACCTGGTGTAACATGTCACAACATCGTGTTGACCATCAATGATGTCTAACCAACATGTCAAGACATCTTGCTCAACATCTTGTTGTGATATTTGTTTTATCAAAACTTCTGTCAATCCTAAAACCATCGAACTTACACTTTTGAATCATTATCTTATTATCCCCGGTCTCTTGACACTAGCAAACTTGGAGAGGAAGTCGACTATAGAATTTTCTTCACGAGGAACGTGAATAACTTAGAAGAATTTGATGCCTTTTTATACCTCTTAGACCTTCTAAAAATATCTGACTTATTGTGGCTCCTTTGTTTGGTACTCACACACAATCATATTGGTGACTAGCTAGGAGTTTCTTTTTGCACAATTCTCCCATTTCTTCTGCCAATACCATCGTAGAAATTAACACCTCATATTTTCCTTGGTTATTGATGGCTTTTGAATTGAAACATAACGACTCGTCAATCAGGATTTCACCTAGTCACTCTACGACTATCCCTACTCTGTAGACTTTTAAATTATAGGATTCATTTAGTGACAAGATCCATACATGGGTAGTTTCTTCTTCGAACAAGATGTTAAACTATACAAAGAAATCAACAAATACTTGAGACTTTATTCTACTTCTTATTATAAAAGAAATAACATATTATGAAAACTCAAGTACCTATGACACCATTATCTCGGTCAAATTTGATTCTTCAATACTTGGCAAATATGATAGTTGGTCTACACTACAATGTGTTTCCCCTGGAAATAAGGTTTCATTTTCCTTACCGTAAAAAATATTGTTAAGGCTAGATTTTCTATTTTCTGATATCGCAACTCAGCTGATAGAGTATGAATTATGATTAAGTATATATTTTAGATATTAAATTAGGAAGATAATTTATGTTAGTATTTATATTTAAAATGTTCTTAGGATATTTAAATATTGTTGAATTGGGCCTTTAATAACTTTTGGGCTTTAAGTTAGTTATCCATTAAGAGTTCTATATATGTAGTGTCTATCACACATTAGAAATATCAATCAAGAAATCAAAAGTTATCTTTTATTTTAGTGTTCTTCCCTATTTATTGTAGAAACCCCATTTATTTTCTATTTTCTGATATCGCAACTCAGCCCCCTTAAAAATATTTCTTAGGCAACACATGGACTTCTCCTCACCATCTTACTCTTGCACCAATACCAAGATCATCATGTTATCAATGAAATATGAATATAAGTATAAGGGCATTTCCTTCTTTGGGCGAGTCATCACAAAGGGAGCCGCCAAGACTATTCCCATTTTCAGTAAATCTTTTCCGCACACCTTATGTTAACAATTAATAACAACCTTTTAAATTTGCATGCGTATGGACATAAAATATCTACGTCTTTCGATATCTGAACAATCATTATTTTTAATTTGAATTATCACTTTAGAAAAATAAAACAGTAAAACTAAATTTTTCATTATGATTTATCTTAAGTAAATCATTACAATTGTATCATGATAACATTAACAATAAAAAACATAAACTAAAAATGAAAATTACTAAAAGCTTAAACAAAATAACAAAATAACTAAACAAAAAAATTCCAAGTGTCGTGCTGGTGAATTTCATCAATCTTCGTGAAGTTGATTATTTGGTCATCTAAAGGATCTTTGGTCGAGAATATAAAGTCGCAGTCCTGAGTCTGAACCGGAGATGGATGATGCAATTGTTGTTGAGGGGGGAAATTTCTAACTATCTGGATCAAATAATTGATATTAGGAAAGTTCTATATACCATGAAAGGGAGCAAGCGGCTCTACACAAGCACAGTCACAATACCTTTGAGGAGCTACCCAAACATCAACCTCGTGAGTGGGGTACATTCTTGACATGTTGAAATCCACTCAGAAGTCTTCTATAAAGCAAAACCAGCGTATCAACATCTGATGCTAATAATAGTCCACATAACTGATGTGTATTAGTTTTCTTATATAGACATATTGGGTGTACGTATGTCTCGGAATGCGTATGTATTCTAGTGAAAATTAACTTAAGCTCTGGTATACCCTTATACATACGCGTTTTTAGCCTATGATGTGAATATGTGCGCTTCAGATCGTGTATGTACATTTTTGGGCAGATACTATAAACATGATTTTGCAATTGTGAACGTACATATACCTTATTTGATTGCATACACAAGCTTTTGGGAATATACATTTTAGGTATGTTAGATGTACGCCCTTATAACACAAACATCAGAGTTGAGATTTAAAACACCCAATCTTAAGGAGGTTAAAGGTTCATCCATTCTACCCTTCTATCACACTCTTCATTATTGAAATAATTTCTCACCCTTACCTTGATTCTCCTAGCAGCAAAAGGAATATGAATTTCTTGGTGTTCTTCCCTCTCCCATAGCTCTAAGTTTTCAATGCTACTCTTGCCTCTTCAAACCAATTTTTCACGTACTGACCAAACTCTCACTATTCTCTCTTTTATCTAAAAACCTAATTCCCTCATTAGGCTATCCCCATCTTAACCTTAATATTTTTCTATAGTGCCTACTTTATCCTCACTTACTCGACATAAGCCCAAATTGCCCATCAAAATCTATACACATTCCCCTTTTCTTATTATTTTATTAAATAATTAATTAAATCATAATTATTTTAATTATCTGAAATAACTCTAAATTGTTCTAGATTAATTCTATAGTCATAACCACTCAATTATTCTCTCATCTCAAGGACACATACCCCACCAACGCCCAACAATAAAATAATTGTAAAAAATACATAATTCTATCAAAATGGCTTACAAAAAATAAATTACTAAAATTGGGGTGTTACACTTCTTTGAGATTTCATCCTATGGAACATTGCCCCCGACATGGCCTAACTCTTTGACGAAAGTGATCAATTATTTCTTCAAGTAAATTTCCTCTTGGCATAGGTTACTCTTCTTGTAGATGTACAAATTCATTCCCCGTCAAAAATGGTTTTGGTTTCAAAACTTATGAAATAAATTGGTACACATGTTCTCTGTCCTGGTCCCTACGGTGCATATTGTCGCATGAGCCTCTTCGTGAAGAGGGGTAACCAAAAAGAATTGATTTTCAAAATGTTTCACGCAATCGTAAAACACGTAGAAATAACATGTGACATGTTTCAATGTAATTAAGCACTGACCCTGTGTGTTGTTCACTGAGCTGCGTTGTACTCTGAAAAGATGGAAGAACATGGATAAAGTAGGCCTTTCTCCCAAATAATCACACCAATACTATAAGACTTTGATATAGTTCTGACTCACATGATTCAATTGCAAATGAGCAATCACCACCTGGTTCAAAATCTCTATTTCAAAACTATTGAAGGGCAAGCGAAGATCCAAGTCGAGAAAACGCACTCATAAAAAGGAATAATGCATCACCATAATCATTGCAAATCTTTTTATCCTCATTAGGGATCAATATGTCCTAGTCGAAAGAAAGACCCACGTCGAGGAAGACAACTTCGAGGCCACTTGTGTGAGCAAAAGTATAAGCAGTTGTCGAAAATGCAGGATCAACCCAAGAGATAAAAGTATCCTTTTTCGATTTTTGACTCATGATAGCCACCACTTTCTTCAACCAACATAAATAGTATGTGGTAGAAACACATTATCACGAAAGAAAAAAAAAGTAACGCTTTAGGAAAATGTATAATTGACTCTGTTGAAATCGCATAATGTCTTGCAAAATTAAAGATGATAGACACTATCGACAATTTAGATTGTCTTAGAAAAACACTCAAGTACTCTATCTCCCAAAGGTCATCATGATAGAGCCTATGAAAATACATCTTAAGCATGTGGCGAATTTAAGGCGCGAGTTTCCAATGACATCAACATCACCTCTTAGCTTTCTGTTTATGTCGAGTTATAACCGACATGAAAAGACAAACACAAAAAAACATCGCACTAAAAAATAGAGGCAAATGCTTAGAGGTAATTGTTTTGGGCCTAACAAGTTGTGATCTGAGAAAGAATTTTCTACTAATTCTTTTTTATGCAAAGAAGTCCCTTGGTGAGGAGACTCGAAATTTGTTGGTGTACCAAAATTGTAGATATTTGTTGCGAGTTCATGGATTCCTATATGCTTGTCGCAAGTACAAAGGATTAGAACAACGGTGGGTGAGGAAGGTGTTACGGAAGATGAAGTGAAATTTGGTGTTGGAATGACGAAAGTTGAAAATATTCTTAACCGATCAACTGAAAAGAGATATAACCATGCAATGGATTTATATCTGGACATGACTCTAAATCACGTTTATATAAGATAGACAATTATAACCATCTTTAGTTGGCCCGACATAGATTGTGGATGTTAGTTTTATTGAATTTTTAAACTATTTGAAACACAGATGTTTATTACACTAGTTAGTTAATGAAACACAGCCGTTTAGTTAAGATGTTTATTACACTACTTAGTTAATGAATTGTTACTTGAACATTAAAAATAAATATAATATTAAGAAACGTGTTGCATGATGCAAGAATAAGCAATTTAAGAAAGAAAAAAAAATTGAAGAATTCTAATGAAAATACTCTCATATTATCATTTGTAAGTTGCGTGACGACATCATTTTGGAATAGATAGTCATAAAGAAAATTTCGTATCAGTCCCTTTTATAGAAATTTTTTTAAACGTTATTTAACCATATAAATTCATTAGTAATTGCCACAAGCGTTTCCTTCACATTAATTGTACCAACATAATATGAATTCAAAAAGGTAACATCTTCAATTAAGAGTGGACCCGAAAAAAAAAACATGAAAATGATAGTCTTGCCATTAGCTACATGTCAAGTTCTTACATGCAAAATGTCTGTTTCTCCGACAACACCGCTTTTTGCAAATCCTCCATCCGAACATCACCGCCGCAAAACACCATCCTAGTTCCGCCGTCCACCGCCGCATTCTTAACACTCCTCCACTCACACACCTTCCCATTCACAACCTCACACATGACAAGTTCGTCAAGTACCAACGTGTTCCGCAAGTAAACAAAATTACCAACCCAAACCACTTCAACCGAACCAAACTCCGAATCACCTTTTAACTTCTCCACCATCTCCCTCGGCATCGAACCTATTTCTTCCATTCCTGAACCTAATTCCTCCTTAACCGCCCATAGTTTTACCTCTCTCACATTCTCCGCTTCACCCACCAATCCGGCCACCGTCAATTTCTCCGACAACGTGCCGGTAACGGAATAGAAGACATTCTCATCAGGACGTAGATCATACGGCCCTTCCCAAATCATCGTAACGGAATCAAACGAGTACGTCAAGCCGGAATTCTTCTCCGTCATGTACATCTTTTCTCCGACGACGGCGACTGATATCCAGGTCGACGCCGATGCGCTCTTCAGCATTGCAGGCATCGAAGGACACATGATCCAACCGCGGCGGCTCTCCATATCGTACATCTCTACCGCGAGAGGATCATCCTCGAAATCATACACGCCACCAGCAACAACCACGCGCGTTCCAAACAGCGCTACTATTGGATCCACTCGCCACACGCGCGGAGCAGGTGCTTGGTGCCAGTCGAGATGAAGCGCGTCGAGTGAAAAAGTGAATTCTGAAGGGGATAGCGTGTAAAGCAAAGTTGAGTTGGATGATCTAACGGTGGAGATTGGACGAGGTTTATTAATCAACGGTTGGTGGTAAGTTATCTTAATCCATGAGTCGGAACGAGGGTCGTAAGCGTGAGCGATTTTCACGCGAGAAGAGAGAATTATGAGCCATGGTTTAATTTGTTTGATATGTCTGAGTGAAGAGAAAACAGCACTGTTCCAAGCTTTTGACACGTGACAAGATGGAACAAGATGAATGAGTGGCACGAGGGAGAAAATTGCTTCTAAAACATCGCCATGGATAGGTGCTTCTTCTTCGGGGCTTTTATGTGGGGGAACCATGGTTAAAGGAAAAAAAAAGCTTTTTCTGTTTTAAGTGCTTTTGTTTTGGGTAGTAGAGTTGGAGTGGGAGGGAAAGTGGGAGGGGTTTGAGAGATTTATATAGAGATGTTAAAAGGAGAATTGTGTGAAAGGACTTTGTGTTGTTCAATGAGCGGTTGCCACCTAATGTGTGTAAATTGGTGACCTACTGAAACGTTACAACCTACTATTGTTGATACTGATACGGTGTTTTAATTCCACAGTAATGACAAACTTGTCCGATAGTTACACGGTGTTAATTTTCATAAGCTCGCTACAAAAAGACACAACTTTTCGGATTCTTCCCATGATGGGAACCTACTAATTTGATCTGATTGTAATTAATAATAATTGGGAAATGCTAACTAGTGTTCTCAATGTATTTTTTAAAACTTTAAATAGTAAATTTTTATAAAAGTATGTGCAATAATGTGAATTGGAAATTGAAGTGTTTGAATTTTTTAAAGAATAATTTCTTAATATGGAATGTTTAAATAGTGCCCTGAGGGCACTTGTTAGCAAGACTCATAATAATTTGTGCATCTCTCTTTCGGTCAACATGAATCTCGACACCTTATCTGTTGAACTCTAATAGAACATTTGGCGGGGTTTAGATGTGTATTGTACTTTTTAAGTGGCTTTAGGATTTATTCTAAGTCATTATATGTTTTTTTTTTACGATCATATCGTAGATATATGTGCTTACAAGTATCATGTATAATAATCTATCTGCTTTTTATATTGACAATTCTTTTAAGAGAAGTTTTAATCATAAATGTTGATCAAGTCAATTTGATGTTAATGACAATATTTGGAGGTGGTGAAGTTGTCATATGATGTGGTGATCAAGTTCTCTTGAATTTACTAAAGAAAATCATACACACATTTTCAATTGATAAAAAACCTCTCTTATTTTATTCAAATTACTAAAAAAATATTTGTGTGCCTAACTATCTAAAAGCTCAAAAATGTTTTTCGTTAGTACAATTTACAATATATAATCGATTAACCCACATACATGATTGATTATCCCTTTATGCAACGTTTGATAATCGACTATTAGGACTTATAATCGACCTGCAAAGACTCTTTTGAAAATCTTCCATTTTTATACTCCATAATCGATTATGTGATTGACCTAACCGATTATGAACCTTAAAAAGTCCATGGGTTGTTTCTATATTTGATCCACTTTTTGTCTTATACATAGAGGACTTATGTTAGCCATTTTAAAATTACAATCATTGCTTAAGGAGGTTCATGAGAAAATATTGTCAAAAGCTCACATCATAATGGAAACTCTCTAGAATGATTTCTTAGGAAGAGGAGTGGGACACTTCATTAGATCGAACCTTTATAAATCTCTGATTTCCTTATCTCTTTACATTTCAGTTATTTATATCTATTGCATTTTCATCTATCTGATTATTTGTTTTATGCTCCTTTTATCATGTTTTTTTTATAAACGCATTTTAAACTCTTATTTCTCAAAAGATTATTATTTGGAAATGGTTTTTCAAACCCACATAATTCACCTCATCCACCACCTTGTGTTTGGAGTCACATGTCCAACAAGTGACACATGAGTCTAACTCTTGTTCAAAGACTAATCGTCTCAGGAGAAAGATGATGACTACAAACACTTCTGCTTTTAACATGGGACTTTTTATGAACATACATCCATCGTCTGATGGTGATAGGTTTGAACATGGAAAGCTAGATTTAATTTTTTTTATCAAAGCAATTAATTTTTAAATGTAGGATATTTTAATCAATGGTCTTTTTATTCATACATGCTCTTTTAATGATGAGGTATTACATAAACCCCATTCTCATTGGATTGAATAAGACAAGAGTAAAGTCTAAATTGATTTTAAATTCAAATATCTTTTAATCAAAGCTTTAAGTTCCAAAGAATTTTATTATGTTTTTACTTGTGATTCCGCCAAGGAAGTGTGGTACACTCTTAAAATGATTTATGGAGTTTCTTCGAGTTTCAAGCATGAGAGAACAAACATACAAACCCAGGAAGTTGAAATGCCAAATGAATGTGAGACTCATTCTCATGGATTTTACTCAACAATTGGAACCCTTAGAGATCATGTTAAAAATGTTGTATTTAATAGTTATCTAAGGATTAAGATTTGGAATAGAAATATGATCCAATCCTCAATTTAAAAGATAACTCTGCATTTGTTGAGTTTCAGGAAGAATCTAGAAAGGAAGAGATAATCAAGAAACACAAGGAATTGATCCAGATTTTAAAAGACAAAGGAATAAAATCAAGTTCTTTATAAGAATATTCATCAAGAAGATCTTTTGAAGAAGTAGTGGAATCGACCCTAGGAGTCTCCTTCGAACGAAAAATCTCAATAGATGAAAGATAATTTGAAGAGCCATCATTAGATGAATTTGATGAAGGAACTACATCCATAATAAATGATAAAGAAGACTCATGGATTTGTGAAAGAACTTCATTTATCCAAGTTATCATTGAAGAATCTTCAACAATTAGAATCTTTGAAAGTAGAGATGATGAAGAAACAAGGTTTTGTGAATAATAAACTTTTGGAAGAATTTTTAGAGATTCCTCATATCAAGTCTTCTATGAATAAGAGGGATACAAATGATGAATTAATGATATCAACATAAACAGATTCGAATGTCTTCAAGAATATACTAGATGATACGTTTGAAGACTCTTATGAAACACCTCCTCAAGAAGAAGAATCTAATGAAGAAGATCATGTGTTCCTTAAAGCTTCGAAAGAAGACAATACTGAGGTAAATTCTCTAACTCATAATAAAATGTATAAGCTAAGTGTTAAGTTAGTTAAAGAAAATGAGAAATTAGATAAGAGAATTATTAATCTTAAGCAATATGTCTAATTCTTAAAAAATAACAATAATATTCTTGGTGAAGAAATTGCTAGCATAAGAAGTGAATCCTTAAAATCAGATAAATGTGATTCTTGCAAATATTTGAAAAATTAAGTAACCAATTTTTTGAAACCTTAAATAAATTCACTAAGGGGAAAGGTAAACTCATTTTAATTCTTTCGAATCAAAAGGAATCTTTTAATAAGAATGATGCATGTTATAAACCTGATAGATCACATAATGATATCTAGCGTGATAAGAGAATTTAATTGTCCTGTCTTTACACTACTATAAATAATATATTTTATGATAAAATTTTTACTTCACCCAACAAAAATCTGAGGTGTAAACCATAGATGTGTCACATTTTTTTAAATTACCATGCATTCCCTCAATTGAGCTGGCAACCGAGGGGTAAAGTATTTAGAGGACACACATTTGAATCCCAGGAACTACATTTTAGCAACTTTTAATTATAAATTTTTTTATGACTTATTACCTCGGTTAGGATGGAAACTGAAGGGTAAGTATTTAGATGAAACACCTTCGAATCTCAATAACTACATTTTAGTACCTTTTAATTTTTTTAAATTTTTTTATGAACTATTACCTCGGTTGAGTTGGAAACCAATGAGTAAAGTATTTAAAGAATACACCTTTAAATCCCAACAAGAAACTACATTTTATCACCTTTTAATTTTTTCAATTTTTTTATGACCTATTACTTCGGTTTTGCTAGAAATTAAGGGGTAAAGTAGTGTATTTTTATTTATTTATGACCAATTTGATGAAAAAATTAAGTAATGAATCTTTGTCATCCATTTATAAAGTAACAATGGTCAGGACATTGTTAACTCATCAATCCACATGAAACATTAAGTGCAACAACCTCTAAAATAGTGGGCGTGTTATAGACCCGACCGTCACCAAGTCGACTTGAAATTAGTTTCAACCTCAAGTCTTGAAATGCAGTATCCCTTAACACATCCCTCACCATTCTAAAGGCTTTAGCATGAACATTGCTATCGTCTAACATTACCTTCCAGTTGGTGACAATATCCTTTTCAATATTTTTGTTATCCTGGCAAAAAAACAATGAGTATGAATGTTATCACAATAAATTGATAAAAAATTGGTGACTACATGATCTTACATGTTTGTATAAAAGCAGAAGTAATACCTGAAACAATCTATTCTATTTTCGACCTCATGATCAGTGTCAAATATGTACAACTGAGCATATTATGGAGGTTCACTGGTTTCTGGAAGCATGGTACCGATCCGGTGGTAAGTTTGACCATGTAGTCGTAGAGTTGGAGGACCGTTCCTCCTGGAATAGGTTATGCCAAATTTCATCTCAGTTGACGTGAAGGAGAATGTTGCATTGTAAGTTCTAATGTTGGCTTGAAATTTTGTAATATGGTGTGATGTTCTATCAAGCAGGAGTTGTTGTAGCAGAGGAGAAGGCTGCTTCATGAGTGACAGGATTATTATCCCACTTTTGCAGCATATATGAAACTTTGCTACGATGGCATGTCTATTTTTTTCTTTACGTTCCAGATACCACATACACGCATTACAATGCTTGCATTCCCAAACAGGGTCTCTAATGTCATAATACTCTGCATTGAAAAAAATAAATGAGACACCATGTTAAAATAAATGGAATGACATTAAAAATGGATGGAAAATTCAACTTGAAGGTGAGAATCAAGTGTATTCTACAAAGCCTCATCATTAGATTCTGATGAATTTCCCAAACTATGGCCTGATCCATATTCTGAGTTTTAGTCTGAAAAAGTATAAGCAGCAGACATATGATTTGGACGAAGGTTGGTGCTATAGTTATTACTTGAAGCACTAGATTGACATGTATAATTAGAAGTAGATGCCAATACATTTGATGGGATAGATAATGTTGTTGGTATCATCATACTCGTGTGAGTAGTGTTGTAGATATGTGAAGAATCAATCCTTAAAGCAGCCTGAGACAATGGTTCAAGTGTCTCCGTTCTACGGGAATCAGTTTGGTGAGAACTCAGGCGAGGTCTTCGTTTTTATTGTCTCATAATAGTAGGATCCACCGGGGTTAAAGAGGTTGTGTTTTGGGTATCACTAATGGCGTTCAACATGAAAGGTGAGAATACTCCATAAGAATCAGACGAATTGAAAGTGGGAAACAAATTTATTCCAGAATGCATATCAAATCGTCTATGTTTCATAGGACATGTAGGTAGTAAATATCTTGTAAACGGGGCAGTATGAGGGGTGTTTACAACACCAGTCAAAGGAACTGTATGAAGTCTTTGGGAGTATTTTAATATTGGGATGGAAGGTGTGGATGGTGACCCTACTATATTCTCCTTATTACCTACAGGGTATTTAAGCTTCTTCTCCATCAACAACAATTTTCGCCGCTTCCTTGCAATGGATGCAGGCGTAATCAATATTACTGGACATAGGTAATAGATTCTTCAAATTAGATATGGTAAATGAAGATTAGCAATGAAAAATGGCCTTACTGTTGAACATACATGAATGCATTTTAGTCATGCATTCAGTTCATAGTGGAAACCGTGACATTGAAGAAAATATGAGAAATAAGGGTAACTTACCAAGATTGTTAATAATTGTTGTACTTAATGGAGTTTTGACCAAGAAGCATGGTAATATTCAAAACCTCACTTGGTGGCAGAAATAACATTTGAAGGGGACTAACGATTTCGTTTTGTTAAAAACGTTGTTGTGTTGTCCATACTAAATGCAAACAGTAAATATCAACAGAAAATATCCAACATCAGAAAAATCACCACGTTGTCCCAAATAATTTACCCATAAAAAGTGGGAAAGTATAGATGATACAAAATATACGAAATATATTTTAACATTTTAGTTGTTTGGTACAGGATTGTTTTAACAATATTTAATTGAAAACGTGAGTAGTACATAAAAACAAGCAGAGTGGTTGGATTTGACATCTTTTCATAAAGTTTGTAGTAGTGCAATGAAGATAAACAAATTGACAGGTTTTTTTAAAGATTTTTATCAAGCAGAGACATAGGGCTGTTTTTACTGAAGGATAATGTTTTGGTACTATTGGTTAAAAATATTTTTGTTGTTCTACAAGGGGATAGCCAAGTTTGTTAGAACAAGATTTGGTTCGACATCTATATCTCTAAGTTTTGATGATAACAAGTCAGTATTTTTTGAGAAATTTTTTGGTACCCTAATGGTTTGTTATTGTGTATCTTTAGCAAATAACTTTGATTCTGACTTTTGAACATGGAACGTTACAAGTTTTTGAATATATTGATCTAAATTGCTTCTGCTTAAACTCACAGATGAGAAGCCTCTAAGGAAACTGTATGTTGCTGCTGCAATATTCTCTTGTCTCTTTCTTCTGACATGTGACTCTTATCAATTCACTTTTGAAGACTACTCAAGCTTCCGAAGATTAAAAGCTGAAGGTTCTAAAAACTATGATAAATCTCAAGTCAGATATTGATGTGATCAAGCTTCTGATTGGTGATTGAAGTTTCTAAACTTAAGCTTCTGAAGATTAAAACCTGAAGGTTCTAAACACTCTGAAGAATCTCAAGTCATATATTGATATTATCAAGCTTTTAATTGATGATTGAAGTTTCTGAACTCAAGCTTCCAAAGATTAAAGGCTGAAGGTTCTAAAAACTCTGAAGAATCTCAAGTCAGATATTGATGTGATAAAGCTTCTGATTGATGATTGAAGTTTCTAAACTCAAGAAAAATCAACTCTTCTAACTCATGCTTCAAACAACGTTTTATCCAAAAGCCATTGAAGAATATAAGATAAGAATGAGTTTATACATGGGGGAAATAGTACATGGTACAAACCAATATTCCTTCCACTAAGAGGATTTCATGGAGTAAGGAAATTGAGGTAGTATGATTCTTGTCCCCTCCGTATTAAATCTTTACACAAGTCGCCAACTCATTCATGAAGAATACTAGATCTGCCCTCCAACGGATCTTTTTTTATTAGCTATATAAAGACTTGAAGACTTGAAGAAACACACACATGCAAGACTGTTGTCATAATTTATGCTGAAATTTCTTTCAGTATATTGTGTTTTTAACTTGTTTATACTTGCTTGTATAAAAGCAATCTTTGTAAACACAACCTTGTATTCAAACTATTGTTTGTATTTCCTTAAGGGACCAGTTAGGTCAGAATCCTTGAGAAGACATAGATTGTGTGTCTTTGTGGTTTTTTAGTCACCAGCGGTTGCTAGTGCAGTTGTAATAAGTTGATTATAGTAGATTAAGTCCTTTGGTATAAGACGGAATCACCTTGGCGGGTGGACTGGATTAAGTTTGAGTTTTTCTAGTGAACCAGTATAAAAATCAAAGCGTATTTTTTCTTTGTTGTTGAATAGCTGTGGTGTTTATTGAGTGAGTAAAATGCTTTTGTTTTTGAAAACCCTAATTTAAACCCCCCCTTTGTTGTGTTTTTCTCACCTTCAATTGGCATCAGAGCTTCGGTTCTGATTATGATAAAAGTTTATCAAAACTTAACCGTTTTCAGTAATGATCCAGTATGTGTGTGAGAAACAATGGAGGCTGTTGCTATTCTAGTAGAGAAAGATCACTACAGTGCCAAACCACCAGTCTTTGATGGTGACAAGTTTGACTATTAGAAAGATAGAATTTAAAGTTTCCTTCTTCGCTATGATGTAGATCTTTGGGATCTTGTTGTTGATGGCTATAGTCATCATGTTAATGTTGCAGGAGAAAAAGTGTCAAAAAGTGCTATGACTGATCAACAAAAGAAAGATTATAAGAATTATCACAAAGCAAGAACTATACTGTTAAATATTATCTCTTATACTAAGTATCAAAAGATAACAAACAGAGATAATGCCAAGTCCATTTTTGATTCTCTAAGAATGACTCATGAAGGCAACACTCAAGTTAAGGAGACAAAGCCGCTTGCTTTAATCCAGAACTATGAGGCATTCAGAATGGATGATGATGAAATAGTTGAAATTATGTTTTCAAGGTTTCAAATGCTAGTTGCGAGACTAAAGGTTCTGGACAAAGGATACTTAGCTGATGACCATGAAAGATCATTAGAAGTCTTCCTAAGAAGTGGAGACCTATGGTAACTGCCTTGAAACTATCTAAAGATCTGAACAATATCAGTCTTGAAGAACTTGTCAGTTCTTTGAGAAGTCATGAGATAGAGCTTGAGGGAGATGAAACTCAAAGGAAAGGAAAATAAGTTGCTTTGAAATCCAACTCTGAAAAGTCAAGGGCTTATCAAGCTGAGGAAATCTCAGAAGATTCCGATGAAGACTCAAGATGATGATGAACTTTCATTAACTTCCAAAAGGGTCAACAGACTCTGGAAGAATAGACAAAATGGTCAAGGAAAGTTCAAAGGAGCTAGAAGGATTTCCGATCGTTCTGACTCAACATCAGGACAAAGGAAGTTGAGTTCTGGAAGAGAAGTTATTTGCTTTGAATGCAAAGAGACAGGTCATTACAAGAATGAATGTCCCAAGCTCAAGAAAGGCATAAAGCACAAAAATAATTCTATCAAAGGCAAGAAAGGACTCATGGCTACCTGGGACAACTCTGATTCAGAAAAGAAGATTTTGAAGAAGAACTAGCTAATGTTGCACTGATGGCAACCTCTGATGTTGGAGTCTTTGGAAAATCCGAAGACAAAGTATCATCAGACTCAGAAACAGAATCTGATCATGATTCTGAAGAGGTATTTTCTAATCTCTCTCATTCTGATTTAGAATTATTTCATTCTAAAATACTGGAGAAGTATCAAAGTCTTCAAAGCAAAAATACAAAGACCTTAAACAAAGACTGGAGAATTATTTCTTCTTTAAATGAAAAAAATCTTTTCTTTAGAAAGTAAAAACTCTACTTTGATAATTCAAATCTCAAAATTAGAAGAATAAATAGGTCCATATGCTTTCGGTACCAACTGTGTATTTAGATATGACAGAGCTTTTCAGCACTTTCTGACTAAAAATATAGATAGAAGCAAAATTGCTTCCTTAATCTATGGAGTTAGTAGGAATGACAAGAAATTTTTAGGTTGTACAGATACCTCTAAGATTGATAAAAGTATCATGGTAAAACCAAAACCTCTCTATAATCACTTCGTATCTGCTGGCACAAAATCGGTATATTTTAAGCTTGCGCAGAAACCTCCACCGACATAGAAATTTGTTTCTAAGCCTAAATATCATGCACAAATACCACTTGATTATTCTGTTGCACATAAACTCAAAGTTGTTAAACACTTTGGGAAAACTAACAAAAAAGGACCCAGAAAGTGGGTACCTAAGGAAAAGATAGTTTATGTTGTAGACATCCTTAGCAGCTCAAATGACACACCAACCATGGTACCTGGACATGGTTGCTTGCGACACATGATGGGAAGAAGGAATATGTTCCAAATTTTGGAACTTAAGCCTAGAGGCTTCATTGGTTTCAGAGGAAACCAGAAAGGAAAACTCATTGGCTCTGGAACTATCAGTAATGGTAAACTTTCCTCTATTACTAATGTTCTT